TGAAATTAATTTCGAGGAAATGCAGCGGCCATCGAAACGCGTCGCACCGGGTTCTCCAGTCTTCGGGGACCTAGACGCGCTAGCTTCCCGGAGCAGTTCTTCGACTGATTGTGAGCCGCCATTGGCTAAGGACTTTGATCTTCGGCTTCCGCTTTCGGCTCGAATTTGCAATTTTTCTCTCGTTCGGATTAAACGTTCACATCCTGTTTAAATCCTGCGGCGCAAGCGTTGCGACAGCTAGGAAAAATGGGAATACGTTATTCGTGGGTTGCGAAACCTCGAGATCGCTCTGTCGTATTGGCACGATCCGCTTGCACGTTTTCTGCGAAATCATCTGCGAATATTTTCCGACGAATGTTTACGCCACTCTTATCCGATAGTAAATAGCCGACGTTGCGTAACCGTACAGGGTGTTCCAGAAAGATGCACGCGAAAAGACTGGGGAAAAGAACGCGAAGCAACTCTTCCTCGTTCAAGGATTACTTTTTAAGAGAAGAATTAAGCACGCGCTTGAAAGTTACGAAATTGAAACGTCGGAGGAATTGCTTTTTAAAAGACATATTCCTCGTTGCTCCTCGCTGCCGATTAAGATAGACCGATTAAAACAAAACGTACACCGGTTGCATTTGCACATCTGAAACGTCAAAACTAGTCGAAGAGTAAAAAACAATGCCCCAGGTGACGAAGCAGATCGAACATCGATATTCGCATGTCGACAGAGACAGATGCTGACTGGTTCCGTTGGTACGAGGTACAAACCTAGCATTCCGCCTTGAGATATCTGTATATACAAAGAATCCGAACATCCAGTATCAGATCGTTCCAGCACTGGAGTCGACCCTCCGCCACCAATCTTCCTCCTTTCTTCGCGCTCCACAAAGAAAGGCTGCGTAAGAACTGGCTAAAGGGTTGCTGGAGGGTGCGAAGACAATGGCAGGAAGCGAGCCTAGGGCTGGGGGTCGGGGAAAAAAGTCTCATAAAGGGATAAACGTCACACGGGACTGGAGTTTAATGGCGCGTAAACGTTCGACGTGCCCCTGGACGCGCCGGACGATGACAGGAGGGGTTGCGCCGTTCCTGACCCCCTCGCTGGTCCCCTGCGCGATCGTTGGCGTTTCCCTAGCACGAGTCTAGGAGGCCGTGGCACGACTGTAAGCCGATATTTGGAGCAGGTCGATCGACTTCATTAACGACCGAGTGCCAGGCAAATATTGACTCTGCTCGTGGAAACTGGGGTACCAGGCGCGCGCGTGTGTACACCGCTCCTCCTCGGATCGTTTGCCTTTGTGCAACGTCCGCCGGGACCAATGAGACGTCGATGGGCAGATTATGGAGTCGGTCTTGTTGCTTCTCTCCGCTCTCGGCGGCCGGCTTCGGGCATTTTTGCATATCAATGCGCGGGAACGCTCCTTGGCTGGTAGTTCGCGCGTTATCTGATGCTTCGTGCCCGTGATAAGCGTCTCCGGGCCGATGCCGGCCTCGAAACCGCTCCGGGCACAGGCAACCGGAATGTTTAGCATGGGAAGAAATTTCACGGAAGGTGGAGCGATCGTTTCCGTAAATCCCCTCGCTCTATCGTATGAATATTAATGCCACAGATACCGCGTTCTTTACGGTTTAGCTAACCTCGGGTATAGGGATTTGTTTCTCTTATTAGCACCTTTCGACCTACGTGTTTCTCCTTTCGATTAAACATTCTGTCGCCTGTGTTCTTTCGATACATATATATTTCTTTCAATTCGCGTATAGCCTGTTCCATTTAACGCGATAATTAGGCTATTCGCTGTCAAAGCCTTTTATCAAAAATTCCGTTTTTCGTAGACAGATCATCGTAGCTTCGGTGCTAACCTAGGAAACTGGTGTCTAGGATTAGCTAGGTACCTAGGAAGCTATTTAATTTTCGATTCTAGGTCCTGCCAAGGATACTTCTCGTTTTATTTTATTCTCTGAGAGATACACTCGCGGCTAGAGGTAACCATTCCAGGTGTCAACGACCGCTGGTAGATTTGGTATTGGTCGATATCGTGGCGGATGGAGGATGCATGGAATCGAGATTTGGCGAGACAGTTTAGGGCAGAAAGATCGATGAGTGGAGGCCTTGGCCCGAATCGGGCCAGCTCGTGGGATAGAAGTCGATATCGGTCCGTGCACGCGCGTCCAGATCCTTTGTAAAATCAATAGGCTCGGCTACTTAAATGGTACCGTTCGCTGGTTATAGTCACCGGTCGGTTACGGGCCACGGATACGGCTACGAGAAGGCTGAATCGATGCGCTCTGTGATTTACTGTTAATCGCGAGACCACTGTTAATCAACGTCGGGCTGCGTGCACGCCGCGGCTCGAATATTCCTCACGCGGTTGCGCATCGATGGAAACAACACGTCCCGATATTAGCTCCGCGCCCCGTTTTTGCGCCGCTTAACCTTTCCTCCACCTCGTCTCTCCCTTCGGAACCAGAGAGAAAGAGAGAGATCTGCTCGCTTACGGGCCCGAAAGCTCCGCGAGCATTCTCACGCGTTCCACGCGCTGTTTCTGGCCGCCTTGAAATGGAATTATGGCCGACGCGAGTCTCTTGTTTCGATTTCGTTGCTCCGAGCGTTCCACGATAGACACCAAATGTCAGAGTGTTTCACCTGTTTTCGGATTTATAAGACGCATCTTTCCCCGAGATAATCGGCAGGGTTACCGAAAATCGCTCGACCCTTCTTCCTCTCCTCCAAGCGATAACAAGGAAGATGGAGGAGGAGGAATCTCAGGCGACTGGATGAAACGCGTATACGTAATATAGTCAAACCGTGGTCAAGGAGGATAAGTCTCGTTAAAGCATGCAACCTTTAGATAGCGTAATATATTGCAGCTTTTAGCACGCCGGTCGTCAGGTGCATCGTATTTTATATCATCAGCTGCGGTGTAAAGAATCCATTGCATAACCGTTCTTGCCCCCCTCCCGCGTGATTTTTGAAGCATCGCGCGCGGGCAAAATGTCTTCTGGTAATAAAGCAGCGACGATTCTTCCGAGGGACGGGGTGCGATCGGTAATAATCCTAAGCGTGAATCGTTGGGCAGCGTCGGGAAGGGAACCGGTTAATCCGAAGATATCGGATATCATAAGGAAATGCTGCGACTCGAATGGCCTGCCTACGACGAAGGCAGCTTCCGGCAAAGAGGCTCGAAAATGCCCGGTGGAACGTGGCGAGTAGGTCATTGTCGTGACACGGCTGGCCAACGTGCCGGAGAAACGTGGACGGGAAAGAGGGGAAAAGGTAAAAAGGAGAGACACGTATAGCTAACGCTGTCCGTTTCTCCGCGGCGAAAGAGGGAAAATAGGATGGTCTCGGCTCATCAGCAAGCGGAATGAAAGAAAGAGCGGGCGTCAAACAACTGCGTCGGGAAAAAACTTGGAAACCTTAACGAACCTGCGAGTCGACTCTTCTTTCTCTCTCTCTCTCTCTCTCTCTCTTTCTCTCGCCCTCTTTCACCGTCTCCCTCTTCTTCGCAGCCTCGGCAGCGTTTCTCCATCTCTCAGTTGGCCGTTTAATACGAGGCACTACCGTTCGCGGGCGCCAGCTCCTTTCCTTTAGAAGAACAATCGCGACCAGACGATTAGAAGCGGCTCGTGTCGCGGCTGGACTCTAATTACGGTCACTTTGAATTCTCGTTAAGACGAGCTGCGGGGAAAAACGCGTCCTTCCAGAGATCACCACCCTACGAGGTGGATCGTTATTGCGACGCGATACGCCTGAGCGCGACACGTCTCCTCTTTCTTGTCACCGAGTGCCACCGTTCGAGATCCCTCCATTGACATTCGTCGTGAATCAATCGTCTCGTTCACAAACGTCCCTCGGAAAAGGCATGACGATCAACAGGCGATCGTGGCGTTTCCCGTATACGGGCATTTTTTGAGAACGCGACACGCGGTACTCCCGATCTCGCGGTCGCTGAAACCGGGCATCGGAATTGGCAACTCGGACGGCTCGGTAGAATTTGAAAGAGCAGGCACAATTATGTAATTAAGCGTCCATTTCGGGAGGCATATTAGTAAACGTTCGGCGAGTTTCGCAAGGTCTCGCGCTCGGTCGCGTGATTTGAACCGGCCATCTTTGGCCAAGATAAACGCGGCACATTAGAGGAAGCCAGGTGCGTTCGAGGCCCCTCTAGGTAAGCTTCCCTTATCGGATCATCGATGGTCTAATTTTATTCCAGTTTTACCCGAGAAACGCGACCATCGCCCTGACACCGACCCGCCGGACAGATGGCGATGGCGTTCGCCGAGATAGCGCTGATTTATGAACGCCACGCCACTGCTGCTGCCATCCTCCTCCTCCTTCTCCACCTCCTCTTCGTCTATTCAGCTCGCAGGTTCGCCAGGCCGGTGTAAAGAACCGGATAGTTCGATTCGAGTCTCGTGGAAAAGCTCTTAATGGCTCTCCCCGGTGGATCTCGAAGGGCGAATTACGTCCACTGGGTTATTAATAGAAGCGACAATGGACCAGCGCGATGAAAAACCCCGCGTTGGCCACGGTTGGCCGCCATGTGGAAATATAAACCGTGCCCGACGAGGAGTCAGAGATCACGTCGAACGAAACAATGCGGGAATGAAGACAGGCGCGCGATGAGAACGCGAACGAAATCGATCGTCGTGAGTGGAGGATGCCTGAAGCATTAGCGCAACGTTGAACCGTGTCAGGGGCGATAATGGTCGTAAAGAAAGCGGCCCCGAGGAGGGAGAATAATTTTTCAAGCTCTCCTCTTCCCGGTAATCCAAATAGCATTCGAACATCCGTAAGATATTGTGGGAGGAATAAAAATCGAAGCGAACGCGGAGAACCGGTTCCGACACCCCGTCTTCCCTCTCGTCGTTCTGTTCCAACCTCGTCCCTCCCTTCCGCCCTGCCCCCCGCACCGTCCCAGCCTCTCGTCTCTTTATCTCGCCAAGGATGAGCCGGACTAACTGACTGACGCACCGCTATCCTTCGAATAACATAATTTCTATAATTGCAGATGAACCAACAGTGCAAGGTCTGCGGCGAGCCGGCGGCCGGTTTTCATTTCGGAGCGTTCACGTGCGAGGGTTGCAAGGTAAGGGATCTATTTAATCATCGTTTGAACACGTATTGTGCGATAGTTTACTCTATTGAAGCGCTCGGGGAACGGGTTAGACGCGCGGGCTTCAGCCTCGCGCGCCGGCCATTTTATTGCCATACTTTTTATCAATTTACCCCTTTGTCCGGAGATCCTCGATCTCTTTATTTTTCCTACCAACGTATACCCCGGTGGATGAGATTCACCCTGTCAGTGATACGAGTTGAGACGCGATCCGTGAAACGAGCAAATTTCTTTATTTATTTATCTCCTTTCCCTGTACAGTGTCATATAACGAATCTTGACAGCTCGTTGATTTCATCGTGATATTCTTCGTCTATTTCTTTGTTCTTCGATGGAATATCGAGGATATTGGAATAATGCAATGAGATGGACGCCATTCGTGACGTCGAGGATGCGGGTTCAGCCTAGCACGTCGTCCATTTTATTGCCATACTTTTTACCAATTTACCCCTTTGTCCAGAGATCCTCGATCTCTTTACTTTTCTCACCAACGTATACCGTGGTGGATGAGATTCACTCTGTCGACAATACGAATCGCGACGTGATCCGTGAAACGAGCAAATTTCTTTATTTATTTATCTCGTTTCCCTGTACAGTGTCATATAACGAATCTTGACAGCTCGTTGACTTCATTGCGATATTCTTCGTCGATTTCTTTGTTCTTCGATGAAAGTTCGAGGATATTGGAATGATGCAATGACAGGGACGATATTCGCGACGTCGAGGATATCGTTGGCTTCGTGGACGCGAGAAAATTCGCGAAAGAGGGAAACGAGGCTTCGCGCGACCTCTTCACCCACTCGTCGAAGTCTCCCGCGAAGGAGCGGAGCGACAGCGATCCAAGGTCTGCGTATCGACCGGGAGTCGCGCCTCGTCGCGTGCACTCCGATTTAAAAAGGCGGGAAGTTTAATAAGCCGCGTCGAATGGCGACAGGGCAGAAGAGGCACGTAGACTTATCGGCGAGGAAGGTGAGAAAGTCCCATTCCGTTGGGACGCGAAAAACGCCTGCCCGGCTCGAATCCGTAAGTGGACGGGAGAATCGAGCGCGACCAATCGATTATCTCGGATCGTCCTCCATCGGGGACGGTTTCGTGGGCACAACGCGATTGTCTTAGAAATCGTGACACATGGCGGAGACGCCGGCGACTTTTTACCCGTGTGCCATACGGTTTACAGCCGAGCGTTTCACTCTCTTTTCCGTCCACTTTGTTTGCGATTGACTTATGACAGTCTCTAGTCACAAGTGTCTCGAATCGTGCGATCGAGCTGGAATTGCGCATTCTTCCTCGCGGTTTTTCCTAGACGATCGTTTCGCCACGTCGGAATCCTCTCCGGGGATTAGAAAGAATCCCGGCGAGGGAATCGGCAAGAAATTTCGAAAGCCGGCGGAAAATTTATCCGCGAATCTTCTCGCAGACTCGTAAATGTCCCGGATTTCGCACAGTATGCTAATACCCGTGCAAACAAGCGGCTTTTTATTTTCAATAAATAATTTCTCGCCGGGGAAAGGCTCGTAAATCGGGCTTCATAATACCAGGAAAAGTCAGCACTCTTGGCGCAGATTTCGAACGAGAATCAGATTCGTAAACAAATTTTCATCGCCAATTCCGTGTTATTCACGCGGAGGTATTTAGCGCGAATCTTTTCCTCTTTCCTCGAGCAAACCATCAACGGGATTTCTATTTTCCAAAGGATCTTCGCTAATAAACCGCTTAATATTTCTCAAACTCACAAATTTTATAACTTGCAAGTATTCGAAAGTCGAACAAAGGCGTGCAATTACGCGATGTTCCTCTTGAAAAGAAATTTTTAAAAAAGAAAAGAAATCACGATTGCTAGGGGTTAAAAATGCTCCCTTGGCCGACAAGCGGCCGCGTGTGGACGCGGAGGGCCGATAGAGAACGGAAAGAACGGCAAAGCGGGGACCGCGCTTTCATCGCGATGTCCTTCGACGTTGCGGCGGCAGCAGCGATCGATAAGGACCGCAAATAATATTCAATCGGCGGATTCCGCGGCGCACGTGCGCGCGGGAACGCGTACGAGCGGAGCGAGCGACAGGACGAGCAGAGCGAGCCTCTTTCTCGTTAGGCCGCGTTCTCTCCGCTCGACCGAAGGGTGTTGACCCTTGCTCTTCTCGTCTCTCTTTCTCCCTGCCCCCTCTTTCCTGTCCGCCGTCCCACTAATGTGGTGCACCGTGGAATATCGGTACCGCATACTAAGTGACCCATCCGATAGTAATTGGACCTCATTAAGGCAACCACGGGCCACGGCTGTCTCTGTTTTCTGCCGCGTGCGTTCGGTTTCCCGGAGACCGAGCCAGCAGATAACGCGTTTTAGGTAAATTAGACTCTACCTCTCTCTCTCTCCTGCCTCGTCTACTCGTGGGATCTATCTAGGATCGAGCGAACCCCGGGGAAAATACGGCCTACACGTGATACGGATTTATGCGTGGATACCTATCGGTGGCTTTCAAAGCCTCCTTGCCCGCGATCGGCCTTTTCTCCTCGCTCGACCTGTTACGTCGATCCCTCTTCCTCCTCTCTAACCCTCTTACGGTTTTCTCGCCCTCGTTCTCCACCGGATTGCTCGCGATAACGCGGCGACGCTTACGTGTTTATTAGTGCTTTTCTCTCACAGTGTGTCGTCTAGGGAGTATCTAGTATCTAGGCGTGGTTTTTCGAGCAGCTTGTTTGGATCGTCGTCGTTGAGCAATCGTGAATCGTCGGTCATCTCGTGGATCTCTTCTTCGGATCTTCGTCAGCCAGCTGGCTACTCCGCGCCGTGTGTATCCCCGTGTATTACCAGCCGGCGAATCGATCGGCCTAAGTGACTCGTTTCCAAAGACTCGAAGCTAGTTTCGTCACAGTTTCGTGAACATCAGGCTATCTTATTCCTCCGTGGATGTAAATCACTCTCCGATCCCCGCGTTAAACCTTTGACTGCCACGCCGAAGTCACGTATTTTTATTATTCGAAGCATATAATGGAAAAATAGTAATAAATTGGTGATGGAAGACAAGATTCTTACCCAATGGAGCGTTTATCTTATTGGCAATCACGGGGGACCACCGGTGACGTTTTGGTAACGGTTGACAGTCGAGTAGCTGTCAATTTTCCTTCAATTTTTACAATTGTAAGTAGTTCAAGCGCTCCGGTCACCAATGACCACCATGGCGTCACAGGAGAGACTGTGACTGGTCATATATGACCATTGTGGCTGTCAAAGTGTCAACTGCAAAGAGAATCACGATAACGCGACTCCTCGAGACGAAAATTTCATTCGATTACCTGAAATAGGCCATAACGATAACTAGCACATAGTATTATACATAGGTCCATTTTCCCCGTATCTTTAACGCTTTGACTGCCACGCTGAAATCACGTATTTCGCTCAGGACGTCATGGGAGTATTTTTATTATTCGAAGCATATAATAGAAAAATAATAATTAATTGGTGATATAAGGCAACATTCTTACCCAATGGAGTGTAGTTTATCTTATTGGCAGTCACGAGTGACCACCGGTAGCGCCTTGGTAACGATTGACAATCTACTAACTGTCAATTTCCATTCCATTTTTACAATTACAAGTAGTTCAAGCGCTTCGGTCACCAATGACCTGTCACCGTGACGTCACAGGAGAAACCGTGGCCTGTCATATATGACCAACGTGGCTGTCAAAGTGTCAAGCTTCATATAATGAATCATATAATGGCAAAATAATAATAAATTGGTGATATAAGGCAACATTCTAACCCAATGGAGTGTCGTTTATCTTATTGGCAGTCACGAGTGACCACCGGTAGCGCCTTGGTAACGATTGACAGTCTACTAACTGTCAATTTCCATTCAATTTTTACAATTGCAAGTACTTCAAGCCCTCCGTTCACCAATGACCTGTCACCGTGACGTCACAGGAGGTCAACCGCGGCCTGTCATATATATTCAACGTGGCTGTCAAAGTGTCAAGCTTCATCGCGAAAGCATGGCGGACCAAGAGTGTAAGAAAATCGCTCACTTTTCTGCGATTTCTTACTGGCAGCAACATATCGAGCTCTTTGTCGTCGAGAAAAATTTCAAATCGTGTCAATGCCTTTTCCCATAAAAAGCGAACTTGTAAAAAGCGTTGACCGTAGGAAATCCCTGCGTCGCAGGGTATTCGTCCGCGGTGCCGTGTTTTTCGCTCGGAACCGACCCGGGTTCCCGTTACCAGGACAAATCGCCGCTCGCCGAGTTCCCGGGACCTTTTTCCCGCCCCTGATCCGACATCGATCAACTCGCGTTCCCCGGAGCGTAGCAAGAGGCCGGGTCGATCGCGAAAATTTCTCATACGAATTGAATGTTTAATTAATGATCGCGGATCGCCGCCGCGGGATCGGATGAAAGACGATACACCGGCCGGGGGGAATTAATATTATCATCGTGTACACGCGGCAGCCACGTAGCAGGGAGAGTGCAGCGAGAGTCCCGGAACGTCGGTCTCACGGACTCCTCGATGTTATCGTCGGGATATATAACGGCGCCATCGGGACCCTGATATCGAGAGACGCCAGAACAGAGTCCAGAGGTGAGAATTAAAGCCACTCGCCCCGGCGACCGATCTTTCATCCACACCGACGCGGCGACCTCGGGTTCCAGCTCGTTGTGTGGGTCGATTGTCTCGGGTGTTCCTGACGTTGCAGGGAGTGTCGTGGGTGACGACGGTGGGTTCCCTCGACTGGGGTTCAAGTTTATGAGACTTTTAGTTTAGCGCTCTGATCACCGGCTAATGCGGAGAACGGCTTTTACCCGCGATCGTACGTTTGCATCGGGTCTGGAATAAATCCGATTCTTCCCGCGATTGCGGAATAATAGCGAGGCGTAGGTAACACGGAAATTGCAATATACGCGTAAAACGTTCGTATTGGGTAATTAATCGTCGGATAATAACAGCATCCAGGAATAAATATGACGAATTTGGAAGAACCCCAAAGA